AGGTCTATAAAGTTAGTAAGGCTGTAAGAAAGGAGGGTTCGAGCTAAATTGTGTAAAGCTATTACTTAAAGTCCACCTGACCTAGGTGGTGTCTCCTTGTGAAATTTACCTTAAATCAGGAGACTAGCATGTGGTGGTCTGGACTGTTATTACTGTTAGTCCTTGAAAGTTGCTAAGGGAGAGATCTGATTCCAGTGCTGAAAGGGGAGAAACAGATGGGCTGGGGGGAGGAAGCCTTTCCTGAGGCTGTTCTCCAAATACCTGGAATGTGTATGTCCAGAGAGTGATCAGTCCACACTGTTAGCCCTTCTTAGGGAAAAATCAATTGGGAAAATTATGAAGGCACCCGTGATATTCATAACAGCAGACAGCTGATATATAACAAGCCAAGTAACACCAAATGCTCCTTGGGATTTGGCTTCCTCTGAAGGAAATCCTTGATCCCTTCAGGTAGTGACTTTGCCATAACCAGCTGAGTTCCTATGATATGTTCCTGCGGCCTGTAGCAGGCTTTTCCCTGTCTGAGGCCACGGGTGTCACCTGTTATATGGTTGCCTTACTCATCGTCTTCCTCACTGATGCTCTGTGTGGTCACACAGCTATCCCTGGTGCTTTGAATCAGTGACAGTCCCGGTGCTGAAGTGTGAAAAGTTTACTATTAAATAAAGTGTTTCTCTAAGAACCTATGAAATAAATTTACAGGGCACATCTTTCTGTCACTGAAAAATCCTTCACTCTAAATGTTTTGTGTCAGCTTTGAAGTGAATGTTTTTTGGGAAATATATGCTTTAATTTTATTTTCAGTTTTTAGTCCTGGCTTGCCTTCATCTCTTCATGCACAGCAGGATGGCCTTCAACAGACAGAGCTCTACCTGGTCCTGCCTCTCACATTCAGCCTCATTTTCAATTTGTTTGTTTTATTTTTCAAGAAGCTCCATGCTGAGTTGTATTGTGGGTGTGGTTAGTTGGATTCTTACTAATACTGTGGGTGTGTGTTATTGCTCTTGTTTTGTCTCCAGTATCTGTTGATAATATCAATGTAGTTTATATGTGCCTTTTTGACACTTTGATTTGAAAAGTCAAGAAGAGGTCCAGTCATTCTTTCTGTGACACAATCTCAGAGTAGAGCAACAGGGAGAAATGGTTGCTTCTCCAGTAAATACATTCAAGATCAGTGTAATGTCAAGTTTTTTTTTTTTTTTCTGGGAATGTCATATATTGAGAATATGCAAACCTTTAAAACTCTTGTTTTGAAAATGTTACCTGGCAGTTGGAGAGATGGCCCAGTAACAAAGAACACTTTATGCTCTTGCAGAGGACCAGAGGTCAGTTCAAAGCACTCATGTGTTTGCTTGTAGCCATCGATATTCCAGTTCCAAGGGGTTTAATGTCTCATCCCTACCCCATGTGATGCTTTCTTTGCTATTTAGTAAAGACAGAGAAAAACATGGTTATAGACAGATATATATAGAGAAAGTACACAGATAGACAGTCAGACACACACACAGAGGGAGAGAGACAGAGAGACAACAGAGACACACAGAGAATGAGAGAGAGACAGCAAACAGACACACAGGGATAGATTCACAAGACAACTTTCAGGCAGACACAGACTCAAACTCATGGAACAGAGAACCAGGGAATGTAAGGGACAGGGAACTTCAAGTAGAGAATTCAGATCTGGACTTGTTCTTAGTTAATGAGTCCAAGGGGAAATGCTCTCATTTTTTTTTTACTTGACTCAGCTAGGATTATTTGTGATGTGGAGTTAATCACTAATGTGTTTAGTCCATGCACATATGCAGAATCTCTTAGCTAGTGACATCATAGTTTTTCCATATGGAGAGAAACAATAGAACTTATCACAATGTGAAACGAGCAGTCTTGTCATCTGAAAGGTGCCCATGGGCTCCAAACCCTGTGCTTTAAGGACAGAGCCCTATCTTTGCATTGGTTTTCTCTGTGTGCACACCTCCAGGCAGAGCTAGGATGCCTATTTTCCTGACATAGTCATGACAGCACAGCTTAAACCTCAGAACACACCAGAGAAACCTGGTCCTCATAATCACGACAAATGTATTTCTTAGTGAGAATTTCTAAAGGGGCTTGAGTAATTCTGAAATCTCTTTTCTTCAACCTACGCAGGTGGAAATGGGTGTACACAGGGAATTGTAGGCAACAATCATATCAATGGATAAAGGGCTAATCGATATGGAATGCATGATAGTTCTATTTCTAGTGTTTTGGAAATAATATAGAATCCTTTCTAAAGTGGCTGCTCTGGTTTACGCACCAATGAGCAGTGTATAACAGTGTTGATTTTCCAACATTCATGTCAGAATTTGTTATTTATCCTGGTTATAGTCATTCTTACTGGGGTGAGATGTAATCTTTAAGAAGATCTAGTCTGCATCTACCTGATATCTGTGTATACAGGACTCTTTGTCAACATGACTTGAGAAGTACCCAAGCTAACTGCACAGCCTAATCAGGAGACATGAGTGTACAAGCATACATGATACCTACTGACTCTAAAGCCTTCATGGGAATAAATTAGGAAAAGTTAAAAAAAAAAAGATCATTCCCGATTCATACCATGCACCAAAATTACACCAACATGAAATAATTTGACAGGTTCATAGTCAGCAACAACAGTGAGGCAGAAATAAATGCCCCCTGACTAAAAAGAAAACCATAGTAGTAGATTGATTCATTCTAGAATTATGTCAGAATTTCAAAAAATAACTGATACTGAATCTACTTAAAGTATTCCCTAGTGTAAAATGGAGTAAAGGCTTCCAGATTCTTTATTACCTGATACCAAACCAGATAAAGAGAGAAAATGAAAAACTTTAACTTTTATTGTTATCTTTTTGCTATTCCACATGATGTACCTTTCTTAGTACACACTCTGATCCCTTACTCCGTACAGTCCTGGCCCATACACATCCTTCTCTCTGTCTCCCTCCCTCTCTATCCCCATCTCTCTCTCCCCCTCGTTCCATAACTCTCTCTCATGTTCATTTCTACTCATTTTGCTTTTGACCCACCGAGACTAACCAGGGCCATCTGTGAGAATGTGGGTTTGGAGCTGTGTGTTGGAGCCTGTTGGACTTAGCAGAAGAGACACAAGTAAAGACAGTGATTCCCCTTCTCCTAAAATCTCTCCATAGCCACAGTTGAGAGCTAAAGGTTGGGGCCCTGTGAGCCTCTCCCCCTCCTAGGCTGATTGTGTCCAGGGCTGGCCTTGACTGAGCCCAGTGCAGGTGAGTACAGTTGCTCTGGGTTACTGATTACAACAGCTGTGTGGAGTCTAGAGCATGACATGTCCTTGCCGGTCCCATGTTTGTTTTCTTATTTCCTTCCCACTGCCCCTTCCTCAGTATTCCCAGAGCATTGATGGGATAGTGTAACTGAGCTGTTGAAGGCTGTGCCCATTTCAATGGCTTATTTTATGCATCTTGAACAGCCACAAGCTTCTACATTCACCCCTGAGTTTTCAAAAGGAATTTTCTATGTTTTCCATAAAAGCACCTTCAGTATCCTTCCCAGAAGACCAACTTGTTTCCGTGTTAGCACAAGCACAGCATCCCCATCTCACAGCACAGCATGACTTCAGCCCTGGGCTGTTAAAGGTCTGACTGACCACTGACTTACTGAGATTCCTATTTCCTTTCTTTTCTCTTTCTTTCTTTCTTTCTTTCTTTCTTTCTTTCTTTCTTTCTTTCTTTCTTTCTTTCTCTCTTTCTCTCTCTCTCTCTTTCTTTCTTCAAGACAGGGTTTATCTGTGTAGCTTTGCGCCTGTCCTGGATCTCACTCTGTTGACCAGGCTGGCCTAGAACTCACAAACATCCACCTGCCTCTGCCTCCCAAGTGCTGGGATTAAAGGCGTGTGCCTCCACCGCTAGGTCCTATTTCCTTTCTAAACCCTGAGTTACTGAAATGTCTTCCCCCAAGTCAACGTTGCTAATAGTGTAGTTCTGGATATTTGAGTGGCAAGACTGGAGGTCTGTGAGGGAAGGATAAAGATGGCTTTTTAGTGTCACTTAATTTGCATAGTGATGGAAATGATTATCCAGCTTTCCAGGAAAGCTCTCCAGAATGAGTTACTGTGTCTAAAATTTAGAATATTTCAAATAAGTGTAGAACATACAGATGGAACTTCTCTTTTACCTTTAACTAGTGCTACTTGCATGGAGCATTTTTATTTTAATTCATTATTTTCTTTGAGTCATCCAGCTCCTCTACCTGTCTTCCAGACCGATATTCTGTCTCCTTACCTGCTTGATCTCTTTGAGTTATTATTAGGGTTATTGCATTTTTCGTTTCCTGTTTCCTTTCAGTTTGGATTCTTTTTTTCAGTGTTTCTAAGTACTTACCGAATTTAATTTTCATACCCTACAATCTCTTTGCATGCTTCAGGCATTTGCTAGGGTTTTCTTGCCTACGGATCATTTTGTTCCAGTCTTCTTTTGAGGTGATTCACATGCTTTACATGTTTTGACCATTTTTGGACATGACTCTGATTTTTGATCTGTAACTGGTACAGTATCAAAGAAACGTGTTTGCAAACTACAGACGCTGCAGATGCTCTACGAGATTATTTCGTGAAAACATTCTGGCAACCATAAAAGAAAAAAAAAATCACGATACACCCCACTTCAAAGGACCTCGACCTTAACGACAACGGAAAAACATCCACAACAGAATTTTGAAAATTGCGTCCTTCTGAGCAGCCTCCGCGAGCACACCCCGGTCCCTCCCCTCCCATGTCCCAGCCCCGCAGCTCCTCTGACCTGGGAGGTTCCAGGGCCGCCGGGCTGCAGTTCCGGTCACTGCGCTGCTGACTGGTGACTTTTGATCTGTATATTGGATATTATTTAACTTCTTTTCTTAGGGGATACAGATATGGTTTGTGCTTTGAGCCCAGGGCGTTTTATCTCAGTTTTAATTTGTTTTGGGAATGGGACTTGAGCATCAGAATTGGGGGTGTTTGTTTTCTTTTGCTATGTGTTTTAACCCAGGAGGCTTGTATTCCAAGATGAGAACTTAGGCAGGATAACTTGTATCTGATGGGTTCAGAGCACAGGGTCAGAACCCCGGATGCAGAGTCTTCCTGGATGCAGTTCTGGTCTAGGCTGGCAGCGAGCATGTGGGGAGGCTGTGCAGAGCGGGTGCAGGGCAGCCTGACAGCTGGAGCTGTGTGGAAGGCAGCCTGAGACCGAGTGGGAAGGACGGGTCCCCAATAGGCCGGGACACCTGCCTCATCACTGGCCTTTAGGAGAAAAGAAACAGCGGGGTAGACTTAGATAAAAAGTAAGAAAAAGAGTCAGAGGTTGGTGTTTGGAAAGAAGCACGTAACCGGAAGCAGAGATGTATTTGGCCGGGCCGAACAGATAGGTTTCAGTAAACCAGGCTCAAGGGACAGGAAATTTCACCATTCCCTGTTGGGAGTATAGGAACTACGTGAGGAAGACCCGGTCGGGTATTCCGGACCTGAAACTCCCCAGAGCCGCAGTCGCCGCGGGGGGCGGCCTGGGAAAGTCACCAGTCAGCAGCGCAGTGGCGGGAACCGCAGCCCGGCGGCCCTGGAACCTCCCAGGTCAGAGGAGCTGCGGGGCTGGGACACGGGAGGGGAGGGACCGGGGTGTGCGCGCGGGGGCTGCTCAGGACACAGCTTCTAAAATTCTGTTGTGGACATCGTTCCGTTGTCGGTGAGGTTGAGATCCTATGAAGTGGGGTGTGTCGTGATTTTTTCTTTTATAGATGCCAGAATGTTTTCACCATAAAATCTCGTAGAGCATCTGCAGCGTCTGTAGTTTGCAAACGGGGTTTCTTGATACTGTACCAGTTACAACGCTCCTAGAGTTGTAATTCATGCATGGTATCTTAACTTCCCTGGTCCACTACTTGCCTATTCAATAGAGTGGCTTTTGGGCGGAGGAATTGGCTTTCCCAGAGAGCTTTGTAGATATTAGTCATATGCAGAACTTTTGTAGATTTGATTGAATCAGAAAATGTACGTTACAAAGCACCACAGTTATGATTGTAAATATTAACATTTACTGAGCAAAGTTTTATTCCCCATTAATTTTCCTGAGATGTATGCATTGTGTTGTAAACACAGAATTCCGAAATGTGTCTTCATATGCTTAGTTGTTGATATTACACCTTAGGTCTGAATGAAAAAAACCAGGACACGACTGCTCCAAGATGTGGCTGAAGAGAAGGTTTATTGTAGGTATGAGGGAGAAAATAGCCAGAGACATCTGGAAGGGCCCAGACTGAACTGGTCCATGAACAGGGAGAGAAGAAGAGAGAGAGAAATGAAGAGAAGATGGGAGAGAGGTGGAGGCCAAGAGAGGAATCTGGAGCCTAGAGGCCAAAAGAGCACATAGCAAAAAAAAAAAAAAAAAAAGTCCGCTTTGATATGTTAATTGGCACCTCAGTTAACCATTTGTCATGAGTTTTTTTGCCCCATGACAAGGTCCAGGTAAGCCCAGTATACCTGCCGTGAGAAGATGTTATCAGGCCACACAATATTTATAGATAGAAAACTCATTAAGACGAACACAAAATTAGAAAGCACCTTTTGAATAACTATGATTGGACACCTACATCAGAAAATGTCTCCTTCAAGAAATAGACTCTGCCATGCTCATGTGGCAAAACTGTTGTTTTTCATGTCATGGTTTGTTGACATTCAGTGCTGTGACTGTGGACTTCTTGTGGGAGAAGTGGGAATGTTTAGACCCTGCTCTTGTGGAAGGGCCTCAAAATAGCTTGACCACACAGCAACTATGACAGGCTTAGAGGCCTAGACACAGCTTCTGGGACAGGCTTACTGGCAGGCATGACCCAGATCCAGGAAAAGCCTTAAGCTGATACCACCCAGGGATGAGGAAGTACCTAGCATCCCAAACATTCCAACCATTAGATAAGGTAGCCAGATGTCCTTGAGTCTAGCACAAACCTATTTTTTGTTTTACAGATACCCCTAGACAATTGTCAGCCAATTAGGGTCCTGGGCCCTTGAAATCCTCTCACCCCAACCTCTGCTATGATAACAAACTCTGCCCCACCTGAGCTCAGGGCTCTCTGCTCTCAACAGACAACAGACAGACAGAGGGACCAAGCTCTGGAGCTTGAAATAAAAGGCTCTTTGGTTTTACATGCGGGATTGAGTCTTCATGGTGGTCTTTTGGGGGTCCCTGTGATCTGGGCATAACACTCTCAGGGCTTTTATTCAGAGATCTCATCTTTAGAAGTGCAGCTGTCTGGTTCTGAGGGTCAGAGTAATTTTCTTGCGGTCTCCCTTGCTCCCCCTCAGGGTTCTTGGACAGACCACTCTGCATGTGTGTGAGCTGTGTGTGAATGAAGTTTCACATCCCATAAAGTGAGATCCTCAGAGAAAAAGAGCCATATTTCATGATATTTTCTCTCCTTCATGTTTATCATTTGGCAGGTGTTTTCTTCTTTCATTTTTGTTCCATGGAAAGTTCCAGGTGCTTTCTGAAGAATCCCTTTCCCATATGCAAGTCTCAAATTGCTCAGTGAGTCCTGCTCACCTGTGAATCAGAACAAAGAGCCCTGGATGATGAAGAGAGAGGAGACAGTAGCAAAGGATCCAGGTATGTTAGAGGGACTGAGGAAGGGGTGGGGTAGATGTCAAATGATGGTAGGAACAGGACAGGAAAATGGTTTTTGGCAGATTCTGAAAAAAAAAACTTGATGTTGTAATATGGATTTCCCATTATTGGTTGTGTAATAAGCAGTCAGTTGTTCTCAGTATTTGAAAAATTATGAGTCTCTGACATGACTGTTGCCCATTGAAAACAAAGTTTCTTTGACCCAGGCTGAAAGCAGCACCCTGGATATGGGAGTGAACTGAGCCATTTAAAGTCAGGTTGAGTATTTGTACATATAGCAAATATCAGTATTGTGTGTCTGTGTAGACCTTGTTACCTTCCTTTTCATTACTTGTGACCAGGTTCCCAGTATATCCATGTATTTCCTTCTGTGGAGCTGGCCTCATATTGAACCAGAAAACCTTCTGGTATGCATAAAATAGTGTTGCCCCTATGTCACCTGTGGGCATGTCTTACCTGACAGATTGGGATTATTGCACACAGGATCCAAATCTGGTTATGGCCATTGATAACTGTGCCCCCTGTCCCATCCTGCATAGCAGTTTTTGACAAAATGAATTCTACGACCAGGGAGTCTAAGATATCTGTAGACAGTGTGAGTGGTCTGATCTGAGCTTTCTCAAGAAGGTCCCCTTGCTTTCTGACTCTCCTATGCTGTCCTCTTTAAATTTCTCTGTCTTTCTTGAATTGTGTACACACTGTGTACACACTGTGTTGAATTAGTCCTGATTCAAGTGGAATAATTCAAGTTGTCCTTCTTTTGTAATGTTTGGTTTACCTTTGTGTCTCTTCATGCTCATTATGCTGAGGTGTGTTTCTCCTGTTCTCACATTTTTGAGAGCTTTATATTGACGTAGTCATTTTTCTTCTCTCACTGAGTCCACATATTTGGTGTTTTACATTGATTGATTTGTAGGTCTTGCATTCTTGTTGTGAATTCAGCTTTCCTTCCATTTCCTTGTAATTCAGAGAGAATATCTGTGTCTGCATCGATCCCGTCAACTCTTCTGTGTTTTTTGTTTGTCTGTTTTATTTTGTTTTGTTTTGTTTTCACATGTTACTTTGGGTTCATCTACTTTGGGTGTTAAGGTAGAGCCAGCTCTTTATGATGACTTTCTAGCATTCATTTTCCTTGTGTTTTATTTACTGGTCTCCTTTTGGCATTAGCATAAGGTTTGTCTAGAGGAAAGGAGAATTCTGTGCTGAATCTGTCCTATCCTCCTACACTGTTAGAGGAAACTCTTACTGCTTCAGTCTCAGCTCCGCTTAAAATGTGTTTTACTTTTGTAACAAAGGAGGTCGATTATTCACTTATTTCTTAGGAATTCTTCACTTCTTTAGTTCTGATTGATTTGTGTATGACTTTCCACAACACTGCATAAGATGACACTGACATTATTGTCATACATTTCAGTGTCCCCTTTCCAGCTCCGGTTCTAATACATATGGATTTCCTTTTTTAGTTTTGATTAGGTGAACAATGTTTTGCCAGTACTATAGTCTCTTCACGGAAACAAATCTGTCATGTTGAGTCACTGAATTATCTTTTGAGTCTCTATTTCATTAATTTCTACATAACCTTACTAACATCTTTCTGCATACTATTTCAGATTGACTTGTTCTGCTAGTAAGCCCTCAGGCACATAATTATGGACAAATGCATTTTATAAACAATGCCTCTTGCTGCCAAAAATTTCTCCATGTGTCTTTGTCACCCCACTACTGTGTGGTTGTGTTTCCTGAGCTGTCACACACCCCAAAACTCTAAGAAAGTGTTTCGATGTTCCATGAATTCTGTCTCACTGTTCACTGATTTAAGTTTCCATAGTAGCCAAGTAAACAATCAACCGTGCATTTGAAAGTTTTCTCAGGTTCAGCCCAGCCCCTCGGTTCCTCAGCTGCTTATAAAATAATCATTCAGAGGCTTAAAATTATTTTCAAGCTGTATGGCCTATAGCAAGATTCTTGCCAGCCAGCTCTTATAACTTAGCCCATTTCTATTCATCTATAAGTGGCCACGTGACTGTGTCATTACTGGACTGCTGGCATCTTGCTGCTCCTTGGGCGTGGCTGGTGTCTCTTCTGCCTCTCCTTTCTTCTCCCCATATATCTGCTTGGATTTTCTGCCTGCCTCTAAGCTGCCTTGCCATCAGCAAGTGCAGCTTTATCAATCAATCAGAGCAACACATATTCACAGCATACAGAAATTCATCCCTCAGCACTTTCTGCTTTTCTGTCTAATGAAAAAGGAAGGTTTTAACTTTAACATAGTAAAATTACATATAATAGAACAGTTATCAAGCTGGAATTACAGTTATAATATCTAGTCTATTTGTGTTTGGCAATATTAAAAAATATTTTATCATCTATCCTGTATTTGTTAGTCTAAAGTTTCATATCTAATTTATCTTTTATCATAACCAAGGAAAATTATAATTATCTAGTCTACTACATCAAAGACCCCAGAAATATATAATACTACCTAAGTAAACAAAAAGAGCATTGTAAGCAATTTCCAAAAATCTAGAATGACAGAGATATCTGGCTGTGTGGACAGTCACCCAAAGTTCCTCTGCAACATTGGGGCATCCATCTTCAGCCTAAAGGCCTAGATCTTTTAATTCTCTTCTCCCTGTGTCTTGTTGTAGATGTAACCAACTGTCTTATTAAATAAGAAACACAGAACCAATACAAAGAAGAAAGCCAAGAGATCAGAGCTCAGAGCTAAAACCTTACCCTTCCTCCTGCGGTGGTTCTACCTCTCCGAACCAGAACCACTTCCTGTGTGTCTGTCTTTTTATAGTGTTTCTGTTCTGCCTTTTCATTGGTTGTAAACCCAACCACCTGACCGCCTCGTCACGGCCTGTCTGTATAGACCTCCAGGTTTTCTATGATTGGTATTGAGATTAAAAGCACCATCCCAGTCCATGAGAACCGATACTCTCTTCTAAACTCTATAGGCAGGGGCCACAGATAGAAGGGACATATTTATTCAACCAAATATACCCAGTCACATAAAATGAACATGAAAGTTAATTTTAATAAGAGATATTTTCTAGAATAGTCATACTCTATATTGTTTTTTTTACTATACTTTACATTGTATTATGGTCTCATAATCAGCAAACTTGTTGGGAATATAAGATACACATTATGGATCCAGAGGCAGGAATGTACTATTATAAAGAGTATGTTGACATCAATCAGGATCCCAGTGTCACATCTCAGATGTAAAAGTTATGATGAGTGAAACTATGCTTTCAAATTCTACAGCTGTTAACCTTTATCAAACATGGTCACTGGATCAATCCTGTCTGCACCTGGACCTCACCTGGTTCTATTCTAACATGCCCAGTTGAGATTCTGAGCCTTAGGGACAATAATGTACCCTTTCCAGAATGAAGAGAATACAGAATGCAGAAGTCATAGAATAAATAAAGATCAAAGAAGTTCTTTGTTGTTGTTTTTATCAAGTAAGAGAATCAAATATTTTGTGACGTTACTAATAGGAATATTTTGATAATCATGAAGCAAATAAAAAAATCAGCATTTGACATCACTAATATTTTCTAAATTTTTCTTAGACTGGACACAGCAAATACTGATGAATAATGATTTCAAAATTACATATGTGGTTACACTACAGAATGATGAGAATAATATCTATAAATGAATGTATTATATATTAGTGTATTAAATGAAATAGAAAGATCTGTGGTTGAAATGAATGTATTATCTATGTGAGAATTAAACTGTCTATTAATTTTGAATAATTTGCTCATTTGAAAATTTATAGCTTCACATTTCAACTATTCTTTTCTTTAGTATTTGAGCTCAGTTGCCTAACAGAATTTTAGGTTTCATAGACATAGTAACATTTATTATTTTTCCTTCATTTTTTAAAACATAGTTTAGTTGCCAGGTGGTGGTAGCACACATCTTTAATCCTAGCACTTGGGAGGCAGAGGCAGGCGGATCTCTGTGAGTTTGAGTCCAGCCTTGTCTACAGAGTGAGATCCAGAACAGGCACAAAAACTACACAGAGAAACCCTGTCTCGAAAAACAAACAAACAAAACACCCACACAAATAAAGATTTAAAAAAATAGGTTAGTTAATAGCTGCATAACAAATGTGCACCAGAGATGTGAACCTGGATGCTGGAAAGATAGCTGTGCAGTGAGGGCATGTACTTACCTGTAGAGAAACCCAGCTTCATTCTCTGTACACAGGGCAGCTCTAGACAGTACCTGCCTCCAGTGCCAAAGATTTGGTACCAACTTTAGGGCTCAACGGCCATCATGTAGGCATGCATAGCACAGAAAACCATGCAGATGAACACTCACAAACTTGAATAAAATATTATTATAAAGAAATGGAAACCTGTCAATTGCAATAATTGTTCAGAATCTCAACATACATAATTCATAGTTTCAAAAAAAGGAAAAACACACAGTTGGGAAGCTTTCCAAAGAAAAGGAGAGACTAAAGTCACCAGTTATATTTTGTTTTGGTATTCTCATTTTAAAGGGACATCATGAAATTCATTGATTTTACAAGATAGCTCTCCCCCCCGCCATTTATTAAAAATAGATACTTTCTCACACAATATATCCTGATTACAGTTTCCTGTCCCTCTACTCCTCCCAGTTCCTCCCCACCTCCTCTCAGTTTTGGGTTCACTTTCTGGCTCTCATTAGAAAAGAACAGGCTTTTAGAGGTAACAACAAAACACAACAAAATAAAATATTGTAAGGTAAAATAGAAACCATCACGATGATGTTGGACAAGGCAAATCAGTAAAAGCAAAAGAGCTCCAAGGGCAGGCACAAGAATAGATACCTACTCATCCACACACCCAGAAATCCCATAAAATTACTAAACTGAAAGCTATAACACATACACAGAGGACCGGGTGTTGATCCACGTAGGTCCCACGCTTGCTGCATCAGTTCTGAGTTCATATGATCTTTGCCTAGTTGTC